CATGCATATGCATTCATGCAGATTCTTCATTATTAGTTTCTTTAAATTTAATACAGGACAATAATATTGGTGGCCACAGTATGAAAAATGATACGCCATTTATAGTAATTCAACGCAAAATTTCGTTTCGAGACTAAAATCCCATTCGGGACTAACGTCCCTTTTGGGCTAAAATGTATGAGAACACCTAATACTGCACCTGCGATCCTAAACATATGCTATGCTGCTGTTAAAATTATCTGTGATTTTGCTGTTGAATTGTACATGCTTACTTAGAAAGAAAACTGTACTTAATAATCAAGCTATAAAAGAAGGTTAGCAGGAGTGAATGTAACAGCAGACTGATAGACTGCGAGCTCAGAAAGAATATAAAAAGCCTTAACAAACCCTTTTGGGCTATCGTTAGTATCTAAAGCCTTGCAGTTATCTTTTTTTATTAATTTTAGAATTGTTTCTTAAGCGTGTATTTTTAATCTGGAAAAAGTTACGATGTTGAGTTGAAGTAAAAATATCTGATTGAAAAATTACGCATTCATTGCCTAAATACTTTGAGGAAAACTATACATAAATAATAATAAATATGAAACATAGGTACGCAATGAATTTGTCAAAACATTATTAGATAAGAAAGGTTCTGTAATTATCAAGATTAAATATTTTTTTGGGCTTAGAATTCTGTTTAGGAATAATTTACTAATTCTTTAAAATTGTTTTCGGGTTTAGAATTTGGTTTAGGAATAATTTACTTATTCTTATTTTTGCCATTATATTTTACAGTGACGATTGTTGTATTTAATAGTTCGAATTTAAAAACCTATCTCATAAAAGTGATATTCATATTTATACAATTCCACAAAATCAATCGTCCATCTGTAAAACTGCTTAGCATTGGCAGGTTGACTTAGGTTTCATTCCCTACCAATGAGATGACTGCATGAGGTTTCCAATTATGTAACGTGAATATGAGTCAATTTCCTTTCAAAAGTAATCCCTCGCGTGTTTTGGCTGCAATCCATATAGTCCAATCAAGTCTTGCGAATTCAGCCATGAAATTTTTATTTATGCGATTCGGTTTTTATTTAAAAATTTTGAAATATTATATGCTTTCAAATATAAGCCGATATGTGAATAAGCTGAGTTGTAAATTTTCTACCAAATCTTAAAACCAGTATATAAACCGAATTGAAAATTAACTCTGTGTGTCCAGGTATATATACAGCTGAAAAAAGCGAACTGTTGGTCATCAAACTTAGTTCCATCTTTCAGGTGAGTTGAAGGAGAGTGCGAAGTGGTCAAAAAGAAATCGATATTGTAAAAACTCAGCACTGAGAAATATAAATGTATGTAAAAAAGTAACTAAATAAATAAATATAAAATAAAAATATTTAAAATAAATAAACAATACAAGATAATAAATTAGGAAACTCAAAATTGACTAGCTTGACTACGTCACCTAGTCTTAAAAATACTAATACATGAATCTGAAGTGTTTCATCCGAAAATTAATTTGTTGCATGTCACTAATCTAATCAAGCTGCAATGTGACAGCTCACAGCCAATGAGATGAAAGAAATATTTTACCATAAATCTAGCGCTTTGCTGTTCAATACAAGTTTTCTCTCCCTTTCCCTTGCCGATGATAACGTGAGCTTCTAGCTTTGTTTAATTTCAAAATATGTAAGATATACGAAATTGTCGTGCGTATATCGCCCTCATGATAATAAAGCGTGAATTAATATTATACCTTTGGATGTGCTTTATGTAGCAACAAAATTATGTTCAGTTCAGCCACGTTTGTCTGAGAACGTAATGCTTGTATCTACGCAGTCAACATTCCTACATCATTAAATTTGTCTCCAAAATTACATTCACATTTTACATGAAGTAAATATAATATTGCTTTAATTATTTTATCTTAAATACCATTTCTTTGATCAACCCGCACATAAGCTGATTCTCGAACTTAAGTAGGAAAAAAAATTACTAACTCTTTTGGGCTTATGGACGGAAATATATGGTATTTGTTTTCGATATATATTATACATTAACATTATTTAACCGCCAGAGGAAATGATGTTAAAATAACGGTTACAATTTATTTCTAAATTATAAAAAGTGATGTCATCGAAGAACAAATTACTTAGAAACGTTGTGAACGCATAAACTCTAGATTTTAATGAAAAAATGCCTATTCGTGCAAATTTCCAAACACTTTTATCAATAAAAGCTCGTTTTACTTTCACGCAAACTGAACTCTCCAATTTATTGAAAACAAATAAACCCTTTCGATTGAGCAAATAAGTAACACAAAAATATTCAAATTTCATTTTTAACTCGAAAGAATAGTAATATTTAATATGCGAAAAGAGCATTTTTCCGTAAAATTCGATAACTATGACGAAAAGGGGGGGAAGGATGTCTTATATAACACGTGCATCTCCCCACCTCTCTAACCAAGAGAAGCATTTCTCAGCATGGGCTTCTTTCCCCAAAATGGAACTACTCAAACGGATAATTCGCGATGCCGGGTGGCTCCTTCATTTTCTAAACTTAAGCCCCCTAAGCAGATTTTTAACCCCTCCCTGCATCCCTTCGCCTTTTTTTTCCCTCTGCCTTCTAGCTGCTGCATACATATCAGGCAATGACTGGCCTTCGTCTTTACGGATTGGAGCCGACAAGACCTTTTCGTATCGGAGGGGGAGGAGAGGGGGAGCGAGGGGTGCTTGGGAGGAATAAATTCAAGTCGCATCCATCTTAGGATCAAAGGAATTCCAATACTTTTGGGAGCCACTTATAATGCAGCTATCAGCTGAAATGGAAATTCCAGCGGGTTTCGCATATAGAGATAGATATATGGGAAATGGGATCTGCATATTAAGGCCTCTGAGGGCACGAATGTAGCGGATGATAACCAGGGGTGAGGGAAGGTAGCTTTCACCACCCCAGACCACGAGAAAAATCCTCTGTCTGATCTCCAAAATAAAACAATTCCTTTAACATGTCTTTAGAGGCTCATGTAAACTTTTACATTCGTTAAAATTGGTTACTCTCTTGTTCTTTATTCTGACAATCGTTTTATACTCTTCGAAAATTGGGTATTATTATGATTTATTCGTTTTGTATATTGCTAGTTATATGGTACGGCCATGGTAACTAAATTGACGTAATACTAGTTGGAGGTGTTCCCACCCATGCGATCTGCCAGTGATGGACTGAGTTAAAGTGCTGCAAAATTCCAGCAGTTTATTCAGGACTTCTTTCCCTGTTGCTGTATGTTCTAGCTACTGCGTGAGAGTCTGAGTTTTTCTTATGTATTCAGTTAACACAAACTACTTACCTTTAGGGTTTCTCCACGAACATATTTATTTTATTTAAGTAAACGGCATACTTAGCCACAACTTTTGCATAATGGTGGGGATGACGCACATTATGCACAGTAGCCCATTGGGGGATACCGTTTACAGTGGTGCAGAAAACACAGTCTAGACACCTCACCAATGGATCACGTCACTTGTTTTCGGTAAGAGTCATTTCAGTCTGAAAAACGATTTTAGGAACCAGCTGATATGGAGAGAGGTCGGGACATGCTTTCATTTCACTAACATCAGGAAAGAGACATTTGGAATGGTCATGGCATGCTTGTATGGGGAAGCATTAGGGTGAATGGACGGAATTAATCCTTTTCTAAAGAGGTTCAGTTAACGGGGGGTCGTTGTGTGATGAAATTATCCTCTTCCATGAGGGTCTTTTTTGGGGTTCCGTTGGTCTCGACTTTGTTTTTATGGATAATAATTTACGACCATACAATACTAATGCTGTTGAAGAGCTCTTTAAAGTGAAGATATTCACAGAATGGATTGGCCAGCGTGCTTTCCTGATTTAAATCTCATTGAACATGTGTGAGATACTTTATGGGGATGCCTGGTCGCAGGATCTTACCCTTCGGAGAACACCAGATAATTAAAAGAGATGCTCCTTGAAGAATGGAAACTCTTACCACAAGAACCATTAGATAATCTGGTACTGAGTATCAACAAACGATACAACGCAGCCATTGCGGTTAGGGCAGATGATATCCCTTACTAAGGCTCTTTGGTTTTATATCCTTATTGGTCAGGCAGGTTTTTTGTACCAATGCCATTCTGTCAAAAAGTATTTTTCTATTTGTTCTGTACTTTACGCATGTTTTCCTGCTCTACTTCCATTTTTCTATAAGAACTACGTCGAGCTTATATAGTATTTATGTGTCACATTTCTTAGTCTTAGGAATTACGGCCCAAATCAGAATAAATTTCTAAGACAGCAGATATTTCCATCGGCCTTCAAAAAGGGCCAAGTCATATTCTTTCTTAAAAAGAATAAATCACCAGAAGACCCCAGCTCCTACAGACCGATATGTTTATTGTCTGCGCTGGGGAAGGTTTACGAGAAACTTCTGGTGAATAGGCTAAAGTACCACCTTCATCGTACCAAATTCCTTAGCAATAACCAATATGGGTTCAGAACTGGCCTCTCTACAGTACACGCTCTAGATAAGATCAGAAGCCACATTAACGATAATAGAGCCAATAACCGGCACACGGCATTTATATCACTAGATCTTCAGAGTGCCTTTGACTCCCTCTGGTGGCCTGCAATCAAGCAGGCCCTCAGGGAGGCAAAGTGCCCCAGGAATCTATATAACATCTTCAACGATTATCTGGACTCAAGAAGTCTCATAATCGCAAACAATAGTGGTGTCTATACAAAGAAGCAGGAGAGGGGCTGCCCACAAGGCTCTTGCGCGGGGGCCCCTGCTTTGGATAATTACGTTCAATGCGCTACTGCAACTCAATTGGCCTGACCACACCAAAGTAGTGGCGTATGCCGATGATGCGGCACTACTAGTTACTGGCCGTACGCGAGACGAACTGGAGAGGAACGGCTCCGCCACTTGCTCCAAATTCTATGACACGTGCCAAAAGCTGAAACTCGTTATCTCAGCCCAGAAATCTACGGCCATGGTCATACCGCGTCCAGGTACAAACCCCACGAGACGACCTTGTATTAAGCTAATGGGCAGAAACTTGAAAATCACCAAAACGTTGAAATACCTTGGAGTCACGTGGGACCAAGGCTTGACCTGGCTACCACATCTACAAGAAGTCAAAGTCAGAACAGCCAACATTGCAAAGAAAGCCAGGCAGTTTCGGGGACAAAACTGGGGGCAGAACCCTTACATTCAAAAACTGCTCTACTTGACGGTTGCAGAAAGGATTGTACTCTATGCCTCAGCTATTTGGGCACTACCAATGGGCAGCCGTAAAATAAAAGCCCTGTCAACAATACAAAGACCTTTTGCTCTCAACATTAGCAAGGCATATAGAACAACCGCGACAAATGCAGCACTTGTGCTTACCGGGCTCACACCCCTTCACATCAGGGCCAAGTTAGAAGCAATATATGAGCGGGTAATAAGATTAAAGGAGAATGCTGCACTCGACACCACAGTCTTCAGCACGCTGCAGTACGAAACACCAGGCAGCACACAGCACGTGCACCCAGCACATAAAAACTCGGGCATACACGTCAAAATAGCAAAGAGATCTACGCCGCGAATAGAGGATGTACCAGTCGCCTCGCAGTTCTACACAGATGGCTCCAAACATGATAACGGAGTGGGTTGTGCTTATGCTTATTATGAGCATGGTACACTTCACAGTCAATGGAAAGGTCATCTTGCAGCTCACAATGGTATCTTCCAGGCGGAGGCCATAGCAATTGAAGCGGGAATACAGTACGCACATGACATACAACTTGCACGAACAGAAATCTAAGTAATGTAAGTAATAGTGTAATGTAAGTAATTTAATCAATGAGTGTAATACATCGTACTATGTGTACTTTTAACATAACGTAATCGGTAATGTAGTCATTAGCGCGTGTCCCATGTGTATTATTTTAAGTAACGCATATATGATTATAAGGCAAAGTATGTGTGCCTATCTTGTTATATAGCATAATGTCATTTAAGAAGTAATAGCAATAATGTAAACTATAATCCAGTTATAAAGTAACTTAGCAAGTTCGCAATACAATTAGCTTAACGTAGTATACAGTCAGGTTATAACTCTAATAAGTGTAGATTAATGTCATGCATTATGTATGTGTAGTCTAATGTCAAGTGAAGTGTAAAGTATGTATGTAGTAATTCATGCAAGTATTATGTATAAGTTTAATGTCATATATCATGAATGTAATGTTATGTTATGTTTCATGTATGCATTATGGCCTATGAACACCCAGGTCAACCATTAACATAAGAATCTGTACAGAACCAATGTCAAACTGGAATAGCCCCTGTATGGCCATGTAAACTTTTTCATGAAGGCTCAGTATCTCCCGGTGCGCCCTTGTGGGACCCCAGGGAGTTCTTGTATCTATATAGGGGAGGGCGTGGGACATATGCCTGTTTACCTCCGTTAAACACCAGGCGTCCCCGTCCTCCGTCACCCGTACTAATATAGAATCCAAAAGTATTCTCATGATCTCATACGCTGCTCCTTTTCGCTGCAATTTCTCCACATGATAAAGAATCACGGTCTCCTCTTTACATACTTAGGCATGTGTTATCTAAGGAAAGCTTTTGATTGAAGAGATCAGTTGTTGAACATGTGGCTAAAATGAAATTTCTTCTGCTTAACAGTTACTATGGTTCAGCGAAAATATATGACGTTAACGTTTTCAACACATATACAGCTACGCAATTTGGATATAATTAACAGCAGACAATAAGGCTGCTGATGCAAGTTTTATTACCAGTAACTTTGGCAGTGATTGCTGTGCTTGATGAAAACAAATTACTGTATTTAACCTTGATTGAAAAGTGTTAGGACTTCTATAATGCTTTATATTCAAAAGTGACGATTTTAAAGATCTTATAGTTTCTTCTTTTTTTTTCAAAGTAGAGTCCTTCAGATCAAATTAATTTTTTTGTACAGCTTCTCATAAATTATTCAAAAACATCAAATAGACTGCTTTATAAAATCCATTCGTTACTGCAACCAATTACTTCCTTTCTCATTCCCTGACGTGAACAGAAACCTTTTATTCTGGTGATTTCATCTGTGTGTTGAGGCTACCCCAAAACCATACAGAGCAATGCTTGGGTTAGTAGATAGCTGTTCCAGGACACATTGATTTCAAATAGTGTTACCAGTGCCACAAGCAGAAACGCATGACCGGGAATTGCTGTGGAGCAATACCCACGGTTTCTCGAGATAATTCTTTATTTCTTACACAGGATTTCATACAAAAGGTTTTTCGAGGGAGGTTACGCAATAATAACTGTTGACTCGACATGCCAATGTTGGAATCCGTAATGGTAGTGGATAGCCTGCCGGAAGGTTCTTTGTCGGTCACATTCTGGTTATCGTCCTGGAACATTTCCATCACTTAAATACAGAGGCATACCTAAATCTTCCAGCACTCTAAGTCTGCCGTAATATTTAAACTGTTTCATTACCACTATTCACTAGTTTGGTGCATAATTCAATCATTCTTCTATTGCATTTTAGCAGAAACGTTTTCTTCATCCGCCACGACATGAAGTACTACATACCACAGCAGAAACATGCAACCGGGCATTGACATGGAGCGAAAGAGGAAGATAAACATAAAAGGTTTATTCGCTAGGCAAATTTAAAAACACACTTTTCAGCGTGATTTAATAAATAATTACAGCTTTTGAAATTAATAATAAATTAATAAAGAAATTAAAAACTTATAGTAATCCTTATTTCTTGAAGATGGCGCTTTGCAGAAGGGAGAGAATATTTCTCCCGCATTTCCTCATTGTTTAGAATCTCGCATCTTTTGATAGATGGGAGTGAAGTTGCAACCAGCATTAGTCCAAATGCAAACCAATTGTTCTTTTTGTCGGTAAAATTAAGCGGAGCGCAGTGGGAATGTTTCATTGAGAAATGTTTTCTTAAGAGTTTCTTTTATTTACTGTATATGGAATCTCTTGATATTTCTTGAGTTTATTTAAAAGATCTTTCAACTATTCTACGAGAAAATGCAATTAGGAATGTGCATTAGGTAGTTATAAATGTATTAGGATAGTTTAATGCAAAGCTTGCTCTTTTTTGTCTAATATTGTTGTTGGTTGTGCATTAGCACTGAAGGCGTAATGAGTACGTTTCCTCAAGCACAGAATTAAAGAATCATAAGTCAAAAGATTAACTACGAAATCTTTATTTTAATAGGATAATTTTGCTTAACTTAAGCATAACAAAAGTAATGTTCACGGACATTAAAGCACTGAAGTATTGAAAAGAATAACTTACAGAGAATCATCATCAGTCCTAAATATCATCAGGCTTACCTATATGAGGCAGTAAGAAAAATAAACAGGAATATATTTTGCCATAGTACCTGAAAGAGAAGAAAGTACTACTGGATTAGACCTTTGGCCAGGTACAAGTAGCTAGGGTGAAAATCAAATATTCTGCATTGCACACGAGCTTTACTTTCTCTCGCCAATATATACCTTGGCGCACGTTCGTTTCGTATGCCTTTCGAGTTTCATTATGCAAAATACCGAAATTTATGCTAACATTGCCCCTGTTTTGCTAATGAAACTCATACCAATTGTAATTCATTCCTGCAAAACTGAAATTTAGCTTTGGAATTTAGCTTTGAACTGAAATTTAGCTTTGAAATTATGACTAAACCAAAAATTGGTTTAGTCATAATATCAGCAACCATTTCCTCTGTTGAAAGATAAGCAAGTTTTACTATTCCTTTGTTATTCAAGTCGCGTATATGATGAACTTTTGTATCAATATGTTTTAGTGCTCGTGAACTGAAATTTTTCAGATTCTACAAGTTCTTATAGTTAGACTGATTATCTTCAAATACCTTTATCGGTAGAGTTTGGGGTAGATTGAAATCTTCTGTTAATTTTAATAGCCATAAGTAGTTCTTGCGTAGCTTGCGATAGTGCAACATATTCAGCTTCTGCTGAGGATAATGAGAAACACAAGTTTGTTTTCTTGAAAACCATGAAATACAGTTTTCTTCCTAATAAAATTAACACTTCCTGATGTAGATTTTCTATCTTCAGTATCTTGTTCCCAATCAGCATCTGAATAAACTGTAATATTAGGTTCTTCACTCGACGAAATTTGTAAGGATAAAGGTTCTGTTGTCGTGGTTAAAGTATCTAATGATTCTTTTTAACAGCATTCCAGTCCTTTTGACGTGGATTATTACACCTTCTGCTGAGTATGTGAGTTGAAGCTGTGATATCTGGTCTTGTGATAGACGATATATACAAAAGACTTCCAATAGCTTGGCGAAATTTATCATTTGAAGTTAGGGGATTTTCTTCCCTGTTTAGGTTATAATAGTTTGTTTCCATTGGTGTGCTGGCGGGTTTCGCTTCAAGTTGAAATTGCTTGACAAGTTGATTTATTTTATTTTTCTGTGATAAGAGATAACTTCCATCTTCCTTGCGATTTATTTCCATGCCTAAGAAATATTTAGCTTCAAGATGCGTTATTTGGTAACGTTTCTTTAAATCATTAATTGTTTGAAGAATTATTCCTTCTTCTGTAGAACTTATTAGGATGTCATCAACATACACTATTAAATTAATTCTTTTATCACGAACCACTTTTGTGAAAAGACATGGATCTGCTTTGCTTTGACTGAACCCCAGATTCTTCAGATTTTCAATTTCTGCATTCCAGCACCTAGCTGCTTGTTTGAGACCATAAATCGATTTCTGTAATTTACAAACTTTATGTCTTTCTTCCGGAACCACGAATCCTTCGGGTTGTTCCATATATAATTTCTTCATTTAAGTTGCCGTACAAAAAAGCTGTTTTAACATCTAGTTGATGTACCTTGGCATTATTATACGCTGCCCATGCTAAGAAAACTAGAATCGTAGTGTGTTTCACTAATGGTGAAAAAGTTTCATCATAATCACTGCCGTATTTTTGAGTAAATCCTTTGGCTAACTAAGAGTGCTTTGTATTTTATATTTTTACCAGTTTCATCATATTTTGTCTCTTAAACACCCATTTTCTGCCTACTGCATGTTTTCCTGGTGGTAATTCTGTAAGTTTATAGGTTTCATTTTCTTTTAGAGAATGTATTTCTTCTTGCATAGCCTTGATCCAAGCTTCTTGTTCACGTTTTGGTAAGTTTAGAATTTCTTCAAAGCTTTCTGGATCTTTAATTTTAAGTAATGATTGATTCTTCGTCTTCTGCTTTATAAGAGAATCTTTCCGGCGGGAACCCCTTTGGTTTCCACCGGAATTATCTGCTAAGAAACCCTTCTTTCTACATTTTCTTCACATTTAATTAATTCTTTGCAGAACTTTTTGAATCTTCTGTAAAATCATCGCCAAGAGATGTTTCTTCATTATTTTCTTCATCATTGCGAGTTATTGAAGTGAATTTAATTCTAAATCTTCAGCATTATTTTCTGCAATGTTTGTCAGGTAAGTGACGCGTTTTCTGAAAATTTAACAGTTCTACTTATTGTTATTTTCCTTAAAAATTATTTTTTTCCACCTACATAAAATCCTGTATCCCTTACTTCGTAAATCGTATCCTACGAATATTCCTTCTTCAGCTCTGTTGTCGAATTTACGCCGTTTTTGTTCACATAATAAAATACTGTACAGCCAAATACTCGTAAGTGACTTAAGTTTGGTTTTCTACCATTCCACAATTCATATGGTGTTTTATCTGTGGCTTTAGTTGGTAACCTATTTTGAAGATATGCAGCAGTAGCTGCTGCTTCAGCCCAGAATCCTTTCGG